GACAGAAAAGCCATTAAATTTTGGCTTAGTAATAACAGTTACTGTTTCACTACCAATATCTAAGCAGACATTCTCCTTAATGAACATCATATATTTGCTTGTACTTTGGTGGTAAGATTTTGGCATTGGATCAATTTAATATCCTCCAATTTTTAATTTTTTTTAAATTCTCATATTGTTCTGACTTGATGAGTGGTAAGGAGAAATTGCACAATGATCATCTGAAAATGAGTAAAGGGTTAATCATTGTTTAACCCTTTAACTCCCTGAAGTGATTCACATGTAACTTCTCCCAACAATATCCACCCACTATCAAGCAAACAGGTAATGAGAGTTGCCATATATATCAGGTAAAAGTTGTTATCCTGATCTAACACAAAATTCTTGCAATCAATTTACAAGGAAATGTGTAGCAGCTAGAGGTGAGAATTAACAATCAGATCCTGGGAGTTAAAGGATTAAGAGAGAAAACAGGAAGAAATTCTGATACATACTAGCAACATTATTCTTGTGCTTTGATCCTTGAAGATGGGTTTTCATTTGCATTATGGAGTTCATCATTAAACCACAAATCTCACAGTATAATTCCATAGCTTTAGTTTTCGCCGGTGACAGAGGAAAAGTTCTATCTACATTTGCAGGAACATCATAGGCAGGACTTGTTCCATCTGTATTAAGTTCTTGTTGTGTAAGCAATCCATTTGCTCCTGGTGCAGAACTTATCTCTTCTGTACTATCTTCTACAATATTCAGTTTCTGTCTGTGTTTTGGGCTTTGAAAATGCTGTGTTGCTTGTGATTCTGAGTTGAATGATTTTTGACAGATTGTGCACTGTAGATTTCCATTTCCTGCTTGTTTTGCTGGAGGAGGATTGTGATTTACTTGAAGGTGAAGTGGAACACTGTTGGTAGAGTTGTGTTCCGTGGAATTCTGCCAAACCTAAAATAAACAGATTTATACTTTGCACTCTCCCATTCTGCTTAAAAATGTATTCATAAAATGAACTTTCCAGTTGGTCTGTCCACAGAGTGATAGGGTTAGGGTGTTAAAAATTCATTTTCAGTTAAGATTTGGCATCAAATTCTTTGTTTTAAATATTTAAATGTAGCTCTATGCAATTAAATGACTGTAAATTTTTTATCAGCTAATAACGAAAAACCTTGGCCTTCAAAATTCTTTATCATGTCATCTCTGAAAGATATACCCAGTAATAATTGCTTGTTAACAGAAAACATAGAAAGGAATTAATGATTTTACCACTAAAGATATATGAATGAAATTATTGAAAGAAAATCATGATTCCTGTCAGTCATGCCATGAAAATTAAAGATGTTTTTTGTTTGTTGTGGAAATCAATTGAAAAGGTTAATAGACAATAACATTAGAGCCACTCAAATATTTCAATCTCACAGGAAGTTGTTGGGACAAAAATATCAGACATACAGACTTGTACCTCATCTGCTAATTATGACCCATTGAGAGGTGTTTATAAAACTAAGTACCATCAATTTAAACATTTTTTTATGAAATATTCATGAGGAAGAGCAGCTTGAAAAACAGCTGATCCTTGTAATCTAGTTGTGAAATCTCCACTGGATTTGATGATCTTGCAAAGAAGTGGGAGATATGATTTTATTTGGCTACTTTTTAGCTACCTGTAATGTAAATCGCGCTGGAAGAAAAAACAAAAAAAAAACCAATATTTTCGAGAATAAAAATAGTTGAATCACGATCGAAGGGCACCTTACTTATTTTTATTTCCTTGTTTAGGTGCATGTAACAAAAGAGGCTTGAAGAAGCTGCGCCAGACCGCAAATTAGCCCAAAGACCTGCTGGCAGTTAAATTAAAAACGGGAAACCCTAGCAACAGCAATTGACAATTGTAAGATATAGATGACGAAAACAGCACGTAGTTTGATTTAAACTTGATTTGAAAATGATTTTACTCATCTAAAAACTTTTTCAGCCCCTAAAATACTGGAACACACGACCAATCTGTCAATCAAAACTTATGTTAAAAAAAACCTATTTAAAGAATAAATGAACCACACTTATCTATAACTACTGTTAAATTAAGATATTTCACAAATAAATTCTCTGACCGAGCATACCGTTTTAAATTCCTCAACCTTCTTGAGTTTGTTCAAATGAGCTTTCCCCTCTCTGTGCTGTAAAGTTTGAGTGATCGAATTAAGCTGTACGTTGCAGATTTCGCAAAATAGTTCTCGTTGGGGATGCTGTTCAACAGTTTCAAGACGCGCTGTTTGCTTGTGGGGTACAGGGTTTGTGTTTTGATCCTCATTCGCCTTCCGTTTACTTCCTGCATGAGGACTGTTAAGCTGCTGAGATAAAGAGTTCAGAGGAGATGCGAAAGACGTACTGATCATTCGACTAGAATTATAACTCTCAAAAGTGTTGCATTGCGGCATTTCAGTGTTCGCCATATTGACATTTGAAGTTCAGCTGAGTACAGCGGGCGCGTGCGGCTGTCATCTTCTCTATTTTGGAGTTCGTGTGCTAGTCACCAAACAGATAAGCTGCAGCTGCTCGTTACCTCATTCGTCAGTTCAAATTTTATTGTGATCAGTGCGTTTTGATGCAACCCTTTTCTCTCGGCGGTCACAGATCCAGAGCATTGAGAAATAGGTGTCCAAAGTATTGTTGTGG